TTCTCACAGGATTAATCACGGCTACAAGGCCACCATTTATAGAGAAATGGGAAAGGGATTTAGAAGTAATAATTGAGGGAAAACAAAAGAAAATGTATAGTTTAATTCACGGGAATGTAAATATGAAGGAGGTAGAAATGCATTACAAGTGCTTGGTAAGATGGTATATTACACCGAATGTAGCACATAGAATAAGTGGAGACAATTCACCTTTATGTTGGCGAGGATGTGGAGATATAGGCACAATGTTTCACTTATGGTGGGAGTGTCACAAAATCCAAGAATACTGGGAGGGTATAGTACGCAGAATTCAGGAAATAACGGAGGTCAATATCCCAAAGGACCCAGAGACTTGTCTTCTCTATGGTACTGAGTTCTCGGTAAAAAAAATATTAAAAAACTGGATTATTGTATTATTTGAATGCAGCGAAGGGATTGATACCCACGTTTTGGAGGGAACAACAAGCACCAAAAATAAAGGATTGGGTAGAAAGGGTGGAGAAGACGTATAGAACGGAGGAACTTTACCATATAGAGGAAGATAAAATGGAGGTTTTCCGTACAAGGTGGGAAAAGTGGGTAGGATTTAAAAAGTGAGAGTTATCCGTACAATATGTGAAATAAAGAAAAGAAGTTATAGGGGACAAATACAATATAATATCAGTATTATTCTAGAAATAGGATCTTTAGAATGAAGGGAAAAGTGCATAATCAAGGCGGGGTAAGGTGGGGAGGAGGGAAGAGGGAGGGGTACCAAGATTAATGTTATATTTTGAGAATGTCAGACAAATTTGTGTAACTTATTTTGTCTGTTTTATTACCTTTTTTTTGGTATATTCAATATGGCAATTTGAAAAGAAATAATAAAATATTAAAAAAAAAAAAAAGGTGATATCAAAGTGAAAATAATAGATGTGAGTCTGTCTGCCAATACTCTACTGACATTCTTGAGATAATTCTTAATGACTGAGATGGGTTTATAATTTTGGGGTAAAGAGAGATCCTTTTTAGGTTTTGGTAGCAAGGACCTGTTGGCCAGCAACATCTCCTCTGGAAAATTATTTTTTTTTGGAGTAGACTGGAGTATAACCATCAGGACCCAGGGATGAACCTTTTTTTAAAGAATGTAATAACTGTTGAGACCTTAGTCTCAGTAAATAGGGAGTTCAAATTTGCCAATTATGAAGGTGATAAAGTGGGAATAGGAATAGAAGCAAACCACAAGGTTGTGGTTGGGAACGAAGGGTGGAATAAAACTTTTCAAGAGGACCTCCTTAGGGTGAGATGTGGTAAGGCCTAAGGAGGTATTAAGCTTATATACAGTTGGTGTCCAAAATTATTCAACCCCCACTGAAATTGAGTGTTTTGGCCAGTTTGACATTGCTTTTGATCATTCAGTCATCTTGCTTACATTTACATTAAAGAGGCACTTGTAGGTCAGACAAATATAACATAACAGTTATAATGAAATAACCACAAATGTCTTTTCTGTGCTCACAGCATTATCAGTTTTATTCAACCCCCAAGTGACATTCAATCTTAGTACTTAGTACAGCATCCTTTTACAGTTATAACAGCTTTTAAACGTGAAGCATAGCTTGACACAAGTGTCTTGCAGCGATCTACGGGTATCTTCGCCCATTCTTCATGGGGCAAAGGCCTCCAGTTCAGTCACATTCTTAGGCTTGCGCACTGCAACTGCTTTCTTTAAGTCCCACCAGAGGTTCTCAATCGGATTTTAAGTCTGGTGACTGCGATGGCCACTCCAAAATGTTCCAGCCTTTCCTCTGCAACCATGCTCTAGTGGACTTGGAGGTATGCTTGGGATCATTGTCCTGTTGAAAGGTCCAACGTCTCCCAAGCCTCAGGTGTGTGTGACGGACTGCATCACGTTTCCATCCAATATCTCCTGGTACTGAAGAGAATTCATGGTACCTTGCACACGCTGAAGCTTCCCTGTACCTGCAGAAGCAAAACAGCCCCAAAGCATGATTGACCCTCCACCATGCTTCACAGTAGGCAAGGTGTTCTTTTCATCATAGGCCTTGTTCTTCCTCCTCCAAACATAGCGTTGATCCATGGGCCCAAACAGTTCTAATTTTGTTTCATCAGTCCACAGAACACTATCCCACAACTTTTGTGGTTTGTCCACATGGCTTTTGGCATACTGCAGTCGACTCTTCTTATTCTTTGGAGACAGCAAGGGGGTACGCCTGGGAGTTCTGGCACGGAGGCCTTCATTACGCAGTGTGCGTCTTATTGTCTGGGCTGAAACTTCTGTACCCACATCTGACAAATCTTTTCTCAGTTCCTCAGCAGTCACACGGGGACTTCTCTCTCCACTCTACGCTTCAGGTAGCGCACAGCAGTTGAAGTCAGCATCTTCTTTCTGCCACGACCAGGTAGCGTTTCAACAGTGCCCTTTGCCTTGAATTTGCGAATGATGCTTCCTAAGGTGTCTCTTGGTATGTTTAACATCTTTGCAATCTTCTTATAGCCATTGCCCTTCCTGTGAAGAGAAATCACCTCTTCTCTTGTCTTCCTGGACCATTCTCTTGCCTTCACCATGTTTGTAACCACACCAGTAAATGTCTAGAAGGAGCTGAGTATCACAGTCATTTTAAAGCTGCCTAATTGGTGCTTATTATGCTTGATTGCTGCTCGGTGACATCCACAGGTGTTTTCAATACCTGATGGAAAGCACCTGTATGAACCTCTGTTCTTCAGAGTGGTAGTCTTTAAGGGGTTGAATAATTGTGGCAATGAAGAAACCACATAAGAACCATTTACTACTGTATTACATAAACAATTGATGTCATTTTAGTTGCATTTGGGTAGTTACAACGTCCTTGTAGGATTTGATTCTGAATACAATTCCAAATGTACACTATAGTCCCTAAACCCCTTTACAGCATTGGGGTGTTGAATAATTTTGGACACAACTGTACATAAGGGGGTCGTAAAGATTCATTCAGCTTTCTGTCAAACATCAAAGAGGAGTTTTTGCTGTGCATCACAAATGTAGCCTTTGACCATCACAATACCTTTCTTCACTTTGATAGATTAGAAACGCTTAGAACTTGACTTCCTGTTATCTTCCAAAGACCTTGCAGTTGAAGCATGTATGTCCCCTGAGTTTTTATATAGTTGGTTTAATTCTTTAGTAAGGGACAGGATGTTTTAATGATTTTATGGGAAGCTGGTAAACTAATTAGTTTGCCCCCATAATACTCCCTTCTGCCAACCTATTCGGGTGTAGTAGAAATATCAGGAGAAGAATTAAGAGAGAGATACTCTTCAATTGCTTTTGATACGTCAGCTTCTATAACCCAATCTGAAAGTAAAGATTCATTAAGTCTTCAAGTATATGAGGTAGTAGGTAGGCCTATTAATTTGGTGGTGAAAGACATCATTTTGTGATCAGACTATTTGTGAATGTAGCTTTCTGCAGACCCCCTGAAATGATTACATTCACCTTATTATTTATACAAGGGGTATCTCACCATCTCTTTTAAGAGCAGCTGAACAAAAGTTTTTTTTAAGCCTGATCATTTTCTGACAGGGAGATTCAATGCTAGATCACTAAAATAACAAGTGAAAACACTAGTTATATGTTGGCAGTACTGCAATTTTATAAAGAATTCCTACTTATTGTACCATCCAGTCCCCTGTCAATGTCCTAAGTCTTTGTGACTATGCATTTTAGTAACAAACGTTTGCATGTTTGTCCTTATGTTTTTATCAGTTATATACTATAGTAGTTATTTTGGGGTAGATCCTTCTCTCTTTATATCCTAAAATATATATAAATAGATTAAAACACATACCCATTGAATGAAAAGATATATGACAAATCATTATTTTTTATTTAGCTTTTGTTGATGCCTAATTGCTATTTTTTTTTCCTGTCCACGACCATTAAACCTTTGATTAGCTCAGAAATTATGCATTTCCTCCTCTCTGCAGTTAACAGTTCATATCTGGTTTTTGTTCTGTTTGCTCTGCTAAGAGCACACCTCTCACTTTACTTTTTTTAATTTTCTGTAGAAATGACCTTTTCAGGCGGCATTTGTCTACTGCCACTTATGGGTAGGTCCTGCCAGTAAATGTACCCGACCTGAATTTTTTTGTCTCATTGGGAGGATTTTTTTCACTTCCTGTCCTATAGACACAACAGAAAGTGACAGGAAATTGCTTCAAAGTGAGTTAAGTCCTCTTTTTGATGGCTGTCACTAGTACAAGTATCTCCATTGCAAGATTTCACCTCCTGTTACAACTCCAAATTTAGAATTTTCCCTTGCTTTCATTTTTGATCACAATGGTCATTAGAATACACAGAGAGAGTGAATCTCTACAGTGGTGGTGGTGATGGTGGTGGGGCACAGATCATGTGTATCTTTCAGATCTTTAACAGTAACCTTCCTCACAGCAGAAATGTGCATGTATTATATGATGTGGCATTTTATTTATCTAGGTACATTTCTTTTATCTCATTTATCATCCTCTTACAAAAAAAAAAAACAAATGCTTAGTTTTCACCTTTAGTTTGCCTTATCCAAGCTTCTGCAGTATAAGTCCTAATGCCAAATGCTTTGTTTTGGTCTGTAGCAAAGGAGGTGTTAAAACAGAACCATGGTTTGACTATCTCTTCTCAGCCTGTTGTTTTGTTGGCATTTTGTCACTTGGCCATCATATGAGGATTTGATTAAAAGAACTTCAGGAGAAAGGTAGAATTTTTAAATCTACCTTATTTTTAAGCTATTTTTAAGGCCGATGAATATAATAGAGGAAAGTAGGCTTGAGAATAGCAATTTAGCATCTTTAGCAATTTTCTGCATAGCATAGTGATGAAACAACCTGATTGATCTCAGCCTGTAGCACTATAAAGCATTAAAAACAATAAAAGCTGACATCTGACCGGATACTTGTCAAAATTATCTCATGGGTCATTCTCAACTTTGTGCATACTTAGGTGCTAAGAATTGTTCTTTTTCTTACAGAAAAAAATGCTTGTGGAACGACATGTTGGCAGGCCTGCTAATTTACCTATAGTTTCTGAAAGATTTGTGCCATCAACTCAGGAAGAAATATCAAGCTCGGAGTCTGAAGCAGATGGCCAGTGTGAGGATGTGGTAAGAGTGCGTGCAAAGCAGTGTCTTCTTATTTTGATAACATAGATATCTAATTACTGTTTGCAAGGGATCAATATATACACACATCCAGATAACCTACACCATTCTTTATATATATATATATGTATATATATATATATAAAGAGAGAGGGAGAAGAAAAAAAAAATATATATAATAATATGAATGGGTGGTACCGTGATAGGTTGGCACCTATGCAATAAGTCCATCTTTGAAATTTCCTTGTTACTAAATATTTCATGGTCAACCCCACCTCCACCTAAGAACTGTACTTGAATTACCTCCACCAGATCATCCCCCGCAGCTATCACCTTTTGTATCACCTCCCTCTTCCTTTAGATTGTAAGCTCCACGAGCAGGGCCCTCATATTCCTTCTGTACTGAAATGTATTGTAATTGTACTGTCTCCCTTATATTGTACAGCGCTGCGCAAACTGTTGGCGCTATATAAATCCTGTATAATAATAACTGTTAGTGGTATTATAAAAAAGTGGAAGCAATTGGGAACAACAGCAGCTTGGCCATGAAGTGGTAGGCCACGTAAAATGACAGCGTGGCCAGCGCATGCTTAATCACACAGTGTGCAGAAGTCGTCAACTGTCTGCAGAGTCAATCACTAAAGACCTCCAAACTTTGCGTGGCCTTCAGATTAGCACAATAACAGTGCATAGAGAGCTTCATGGAATGGGTTTCCATGGCCAAGGAGCTTCATCCAAGCCTTCCATCACCAAGTGCAATGCAAAACGTCAGATACAGTGGTGTAAAGCACACCTCCACTGGACTCTACAGCAGTGGAGACATGTTCTCTGGAGTGACAAATCATGCTTTGGCAATCCGATGGACATGTCTGGGTTTTGCAGTTGCCAGGAGAACAGTATTTGCCTGACTGCATTGTGCCAAGTGTAAAGTCTGGTGGAGGGGCGTTATGTTGTGGGGTTGTTATTCAGGGGTTGGGCTTGGCCCCTTAGTTCCAGTGAAGTGAACTTTTAAGGAGTCATCATACCAAGGCATTTCAGACAATTTCATGCTCCCAACTTTGTGAGAACAGTTTGGGAAGCCAGAAGAATCTGGAGTGACAGGAAATAACCTCCTAGATAGTTGTCACTAGAACAGGAAACCCCCTTGACAAATTTCCCTCATCTCCTGTTTCTGTGACTAGAATGTTTTGTGATTTAGGTGTGCAAAGCAAAGTATTTGTTACAGGGGCTCATAGACCCAGATGGTGGGGTAGCCATTTAAGAAGATCTACTGTAATCCATTGGATAGAATTAGATATGAATTTGTCCAGATGTATTAATTGAAAAACAATTTGAAAAAAAACCACCAATAACGGGTTTCGTGATGAATGGTAACTTCTTTAGTTTAGGGTGTGAATGAAACTTCAAACAAATGTTGTAAGGAAGTATGTACACAATGAAGGTAAATCTAAGAGGGTGTTTGCTACAGGTATTATTATTATTTTAGATTTTGATTAATTTGATGTTCATAGGTATACATATTTGATCTGTTATACAGTAAGGGCCAATTCACACCACTGCATTTTAGCACAGCTGTAAAATGCAGATCAACGGAAGGATATCCGAAGAACAATCATTTCCAGTGTGTCCTATTCACACTGTAATGTTACATTGTGTTATATTTTGTTGCGCAGCACATTGTACATTCTACAAGAGACTCCGAACAGGTGGGTAAGTGTATTTTATTGCGCAAGAGGCGTGGCATATCTCTTCTGCAATAAAGAGCTTGCCTGTTTGCATTTTTTTTATTTTTGAACTTTAGTTACAGTTTGTTGTTGTATTCATTTTTTTTACCTGTTTAAGCCTGTGTCAATTTTTATTGCAAATGCTCTGAAACTGCTGCCTGACACTCAATCTGCATGTGATGTAAGCATCCGCAGCAGATCTCAACTCATTTGACACTTTATAGTGTTCCCCTTCACTCCTTCCCTGGCAAATGCATAAAAGGGAGAGTGACCAGTAAAGGGCTGGAGAAGCTGGGCCAGTACAGAGAGCAATTAGATATTTCCAGAAGAGGAGAGGGTTACGATGTGCAACTAAGGACGGGACTGCTAGGGAATCAACTCTTCCTGGAGTTTTCAATAAGTGTAAATAGTGAAGTGCTAGAATTGAATATGATATCAACATAAACTATACAGTGTGCTGTTAAGATATTAAATATTGTAATATTATAAATGTAGTAATAATGTTAATAAGTCACAAACCAATAAATAAACACACTGTGCTCTGATCACATTTGGATCCAATAAAGTGCAACTCTAGTGATAACCACAATATACACTTGTGGTGACACTCCGTGATACAAACCCCCCTTATTTGAATCCTTATCAGGATAAACTTGGTGATTGGACAATCATGGTCCCTTATATAAAGGGAAAATATAATAGTGTTTGGTGCCTTATAAACACTAAATAATACTAATGAATAATATTCCGTGCCTTCTTAAACAGAAAAATAAACTAATGAAATACCCCAAAATTATGCATAAATAACAAAATCCTACCAAAAAGTCCAATGAATATATATACGTGATTCTCCAAAACAAAAAATCATGCAAGTGATGGAAGTGAACTGGTGATCTTCACTCTGGTGCCAAATCCTCAAAACAGCAGAAATACCCGCTCACCTCCAAACCTTGACCCTAGGGTCCAACACGCTTTTAGGATCACCCCAATTGATCCTTAAGGGTACTTTTTCACCACAGGAACAGATGTCATATATACTCCTTGACGTAGTAACTCCTACTCCTATCAGATTCCTTAAAGGCAACGGTGCTGCAATACAGCTCACTCTCCACCTGCTCCACTCAGGATCATGTTAGTGTGATATAAAGAACAATATCCTCCATAGTGCAATAATGCTTTATTACTCAATGCAAAATAGTAGCCAATAACACACTCACATGTATTCCCATGAAAAAACACTTTTTCACCACAAGCTATGGGTGTACTGCATGGGCTGGGTGTACCAATATGGCCTCTACGCCCGGAAGTGCGTCACCGAAAGTTGCGTACCAACACGTTGCGTCACGTGACTTCATCAGGGTATACGCCCTCTGGTGACCGCGATTTTCTTATATGGACAGCCGAGTGTCAATCTCAATTGGGAGGCGGGCATTCAGCGACCGAAGCACATACTAAGCTACTATTCTCAGCTGCACTTACTTATTGCGGTGATGGCAGGGAAAAAAAACTAACACTACTAATAATCATTATGGGTGACACTGGGCTTAAACATATAAATGGAAATAATTAATGATAATACCTGGGATCAAATATATAAATATATGTTTCTTATATATCTATGTATATACCATAAAAAGTCCAGGTAAATAAATATACTCTGCACTATACTAAAACTAAATTGAAATACCATAATCTTTATTAAATCATCTCTAAAGTGCTATTGTGTATAGAAATTGATAAATGTAGTAAATATTAAATTAAGATTAAAAATTAGGGGAAAGAGGAATCCGTACATTGCTACTAAAAAATAGAGGGAACATATTTGAATTAAAAATAAATACTAAAATTAAAAAAATAAACAAAAATACGCCCATAAATATCTGTATATACAAATATATTAAATTAATGAAAAAAATTATTAAAATTGATAAAATAAATTCATATATATATATATACATACATAAAGCCAATAACACTGTTCAACAAATTTTTATTTTTTGCCAGTTTTGGAAACAAAAGGATCCATTTCTTAATGAATTGCACATTCTGAGTTCAAATATAACAATGAAATTTGTCAATTGGCTCTAGTTTTTCTGTAAACGGAAAGTTTTCTACTATAGGCGTAATGACTACATAATGCACAATAATTATATAGAAAGATGTCTTTCCACAAATATAAAGCAAGTGATATTGACTACATAACAAAGCCTAAATGGCATAATATATTGCATAGGATTACCAAGAAAAATTATAGCCATAAGCTAAGTTGAATCATTTTAATACTTAGGATTCTCACTAGTTTTGTCTTCAGTTTGTGTCGGTTTTGCTTCTCTTGGCTTTTCTCTTGTATTCGAGGAAAGGCTATCTCTTACAACTGCACGTGACTACACGCTTCAGGTTCTTCCTCACTTGACTCAACCACGAAGGATTCTGGTGCTTTAGGAATTGGTAGCCCCTCTCCATGAGGAACTGGGACGTATTGCCGATGAATATTTGGATAGTGCACAGATAACTTTTTCTTCTTATTTAGCCCTTTTACAATTGGAGGCACCATACAAAAGTAACAATTACTAACATGATCTGTTGGCTCTCTCCAAATCATTGGCACAGCGAAAAGCATAGATGCCTTTTTTCCATTCAACCATTGCTCCAGTGCCGTCCCACAAGAATTGCAGCATATATGTGGTGCCCAGCTCTTGTCCTGGTCTCCTATCTTGCAGCCAAAATACAAGTTGTAGGCTTTCTTAATCATTCCTGTTATCCTCCTTTTTTGTGAGATAAAAGTTATTTCACCGCAGATATAGCAGAAATTATCTGCTTTATTCACACAAGTTCGAGGCATTACTGAGTAGCCTATATAAGCATAAAACGAAATGTAAAGACGCTGTCGAACTACAATCAGCTACAGATACTGCAGCTTTTATGCAGTGAAGTGATGCAATTAAAGGCTAATATTGCATCATCTCAGTATACATGCAATTTTCTATTGGTCACCAGTATCAATTGCGCAATATGCAGCTGAAGTTGCATCATAATTTTGAATGGCTTACGTCATTAGATGGGTGAATATATCATGGAAAACTAGAGCCAATCAACATTTTTTAGGGTCATTTTCGTTTTCAGCACCCCAAAATTATGTAAGTTTAGCTAATTTTATGCCCAAAACTTTTTACCTGTTGAACAGTGTAATTTGTGAATACTCTCCAACCCCCTATTAAATACGACTATCCTACTCCATGCATCTACACCAATAGCATGGGTTCACAAACATATGTATTA